ATTGCTTCCCCAACCTGTCCCTTGGAGATATTTAACTCTTTTTTTACTCCAGTTATAATCCAGCCTTCCCTTTGTTTGAGCTATACCACATTTTAGTTTAGACCTGTAATACAATTTTTTCATGTAAATGTGATGAGTCACTTTCTGGCATAGTCTACTGTCTACTGCAAACAAAGACCAGGTCAGTATTAAAAAAAAAAAAAAAAAAAAAAAAGACGAGGTCAGGACATCTTCCCAATACAACCTTTTTTCCCCAGGCCTGCCTGATACTTTTCTGGCCTTCACCTGGCATAGGTGCTAATACTTCTGCCCACACACCATTCCCTCAGCTTGGGTACCCTCTTTCCTGCATCATCCAGCTCAAATGTTAGTTCTTACTTGGTCTTATTGGCCAGACAAGAAAGTCACTACCTCTGTATTGTCTCCATTATAAGCCAGTGATTAATTCCAACAGTTATGTGTAGTTATCTATTTCCATCTCTTCCAGGAGACTAAGTGAAGGGTGAAAATTGGGTCCTACTCATCTTTGCATCCCCAGAGCCTAATGGTGCTTAATAAGAGAATCAAAGTTATAACTCAGTGACATGATATACTAGTCTTAGGCCCATTTTGTATCAGTCAGCATGGACTAAATTATGCTGTTGTACCAAACTCCACCCAAATCCCAGTGGATGATAAAAACAAAGGTTCACTTTTCATGCACACTACTAATCCATCCCAGAAAATCCTGCTCCACATCCATTTTAGGATCCCAGTTGAAAGAAGAGCCCCAGGACACGGACAGTCTCATTGGAGAGGGAAAGAGATTGATGACCATGCTTTGGCTCCTGACTTCCACTTAGAAAGTGGCACACTTCATTTCTGCTCACATTTCATTGGCTAAAGCAAATCAGTATGCCCAAGCATAATGCCAATGGGGCAGAAATGTAAAACTCTCCTAAAGGGTGAATGGCTTTAACATTAATAAAGTCTACCGACATTGCCATCATATCCAGTTTACCTTTCCAGGGGCATGGAGCCTGTGGAACATGTTTCTGTGGTTCCTATGTCAGCTGACTTTTGAACTCAGCTAATGGGAAGCCTCTGCAGGAAACTGGAGAAGGAGGTTAGAAGCCAGGGCATCCTCCGCACCCAAAAATCATAGAGAGGCTTCTGCAAAGGCTGCATTTCCTCCATGGCTCTAGCTTCCACTAGCCAGGCCTGCTGACTTTTCTGCTTCTGCTGAAAAAGGTCCTGGACACTATGACCTTGGACTCACACACTCTGATCCAGTCTCTTGATCTGCAAAACAGGGGGAGAATCTACTCACATCATTCAGTTGTTTCAAGAACAAAATTAAAGAATGTTTATGAAAATATGTAAAGAATAAAGTGCTAGACAAATAAGGTGCTTGAGTGTATACGAAGTGAGGCAACATGGTGTTGCAGAAAAGGAGACTGGGGATCACAATGCTTATGTGTTCAGGTCTTGCTCTGCTACCACTGTCACCTCATCCAGGTGACAGTGTGTTGTTCTCTATTCTCCTCATCTGCAAATTGGAGATAACACTGTTGATAATGAAGTGGCTGCAGAATAGCATAAATGAGAAGATGTATACTCTCGAGTGTAAAAATCTATACAAATGTTAAATTAATGCACTAGTTATAAGCAGAAAAAAAAACCTTTATTTCTATCAAATTAAAAAGGAGGAATCAATCTTCAAGCAAGATAACCAAAGTAGTCAATAACACAATTTAACAGTTAGGAGAGCATGTACAGATTAGAATACAAGTTTAGATACTTTTAAGCATGTACACCCAAATCAAAAGGGCTGACAACTTTCACACTGAGGAGAAGCAATGACTCATCATAAACACACAACTTCTGGGAAACTGGAGCTGACTTTTCACAGGACAGTAAACCGAAGTGACAAGCTGTCATTGGCTTAGAGAACAGATTTGAGCTTGATAGGGGTCACAGTGAAACACCATTGTAATGCAACAATTTCCCCCAGAGATCTGTTCATCTCAAAAATAGGAATATATAAAAATCAGTAGTACAAATTCTCATGAAACTAGAAAAGCCCTCTAAGCCCTAACACCTTGAAGCTTACATAAAGAGGTTTTTTCTTCCCTTTACTTCTCTAAATTAAATACAGTTTTTATTTAGTACATTTCTGACGTTACAGCTAAAGCTTCAAAACGAACAGTTTTATGAGATGGAATTAGACACACATCAACCCCAGGGAGAATTTCAAGGTGCACTACTCCTTGGCAAAGTTTTCAACAGGAAACCTTTTTATTTCCAGAATGACATTGTTGCCTGGAATAGCTTAATTATTACCAGAAGGAATGCATACCCATGTCATCCAAGGACTCTCATCCTTTTGGAGATGTTTACCATCTCTCCATCTCCCTCTCTCCCTACTTCTCCCTCCCTCCCGCCCCAGATGCACACACAAACACACTGATCAAATTGGGGGGATTCCCTGAAGCATACATACAGATAATGGCATTTATTTTGGCAAGACTTGTGCAATTTGTTAAAAGAGAGATAAGGTATGGCATTTATGAACAATTGTAATTATAGTATATCTCAACAGATGCAGGAAGCAGATTTATCTTCATAGTTGAAACACAGCTTCATGGTTTCCTGATATCTGGGTCTTGTAACATTTTTCATCTAGAAACCAGACTGAATCAGTTATATGTGGAAAGGGATGATAACTTATGACCAGACCACACCTCCATTTTAGAAAAAGTCTCCGTTGCTAAATTCTTCTTTTGAGACACTAAATAGACAAGGGAGTTACTAAAAATGCAGGGGAATTGAAAGTAATTCATACTAAGAACGTGACTTGGCCTTATGAATTAATTGCATTTCTGGAAAAACTGTGGGAAGAAAAAATACTGAAAGGTAAATATCAAAGTAAATGAAAGGTAATAAATGAAATCATCAGGTAGATAGGAATGTCTCCCAAGATCCTGTAACTCAGCAGAGTGCAGATGAGATGTATGCCCTCTGTTTATACAGTGTGCAACTACCACCGGGACCCACTGAGTGCTCATTTCTTACCTCAGCACCAGAGCACCAAAAGCAAAGATTCCAGGTACAAATAACACTGTTTTACCCATTAATTAGTATGGGGAGCTCCAAGGAGGAAAAGGTACAAAAAAAAAAAAGCCTTTTTTAATTTCCTGATTAATCCCTATAGGTACATGAAAACACAAGTTTAAGTAAACAGGATGTCTTCAGTTTTTACACAAGGAGGCAGGATAACCGAAGTATCTATCATGTAGGGTAATTGTTGAGGATTTAATTAGACAATGCATATAATATGCTTAGCATGAAGTACCAATCAATAGTAATTACCAAGACTCCCCGCAGGCTGATAAGCTGTTTAGCCAAAGTCAAATACTGAAATCAGTATACAGTGAACTGAATTTTATAAAAGTTCTATTCATGATTTTGCACAGGTACCCTTGTCCCGACAACTATCCTGTCTCAACATTTTAAGAGGTAGGAGAAGCCACAGCAGTACCTCTTTCCGAGAATCCTCCTCAACCGTGGCTCTTCTTACCTTTTTCCTTCCCTACCAAAAGCGGCACAGCCTGGGTAAAGTGGAGCTCATGTGAGCTTGGTTGCTGGAGGGTGGCAAGGAGTGACCTTGGGGAAGGTGGGAAGCGTTTCCCCCAGTTACTGCCAGAATTGTGCACGACAAGCAGAGCCACCATATCGGATGGCAGGCAAAGGTGTGAATTTGGCATTCAGAATCATGTTGATGTGTAGTGTGATATAGGAAAGATGGTACAAAAATCAAGGATTACCCTATGTTAGTGGCTCAATGGCCTTCTGTTCACCAGTCAGCACTTCAGGAAGGGCCAGTCTTTTATCAGGGCCTTATTAGGGGGTAAGAGTGAGGTACTGATTTGTTCTGGTATCAGGGGGAAAAAGTGAGTAGCATGTGGAGATCTCCCAGCAGCCCAGGTCTACAGTGAACACTGTAGCTGGGGGTGGCTCAAGGATAAAGGTCCATTCAGGGGTATAACACCATGAACACCAAAAGGGTAGGTGAGGAACAGGAACCTGACTCCTCCACAGATTTCGCTTGGACACAAGCCTAGCCTACTTCAACAGCCATTCATTTTATAAGTGAGTAGTTATAAAAGATCAAGGCTCAGACCTTCCTCTAGCAGCTCCCTTTGCTTAAGCAAAGGGGGGAAAAAAGGAACAGTCCTATGTAGAGCTATGTCACTTTTGCTCCTTTTGATGTGAGGCCGCTTGGAGCTACTAACAAAATCAAGCAGGCTCATCACCCTGGGTTGGCTGGGATAGGACACAGTAAACATCCAGGAGCAAAGTCAGGCTGCAGGTTAGGAAGCTGCAGGTTAGGGAAACCTGGGTGTGAGTCCTGGCTGTGCTGTTTACTGGCAGCAAGAGCCTGGGCAAGATGCTTCACATCTCTGACCCCTGCCTTCTTTGTTTATAAACATGGCATCATGCCTATCCCAAAGGGTGCTTGAAAGATTAAATGGGATGTTTGTAAAGGTCCTAGAACTGCTCCTATCACCCCCAAAGGCCTTCCATAAATGGTACTTATTTTATGTATGCCTTAGTGTTAAGAAAATATTAAACACAGCAATGTTTCCAAGTTCTAAGTACGTGGGAAGCCTGTTCAGATAGTGGAAAACAAAATGAATTCAGAGCTGGCTAGAATCTCAGAATACGGGGACAGGTTAGGAATCATAGGGACAACTACTTCCTTTGCGTAACTCTGAAGGAACTGTATGTGTGGCAGTAGAAGGAAAATGAAGGAAAAATGTTCCTTTTTGGGCAGCCCAGGTGGCTCAGAGGTTTAGTGCCGCGTTTGGCCCGGGGCCTGATCCTGGGGTCCCGGGATCGGGTCCCGCGTTGGGCTTCCTGCATGGAGCCAGCTTCTCCCTCTGCCTCTGCCTCTGCCTCTGCCTCTCTCTCTCTGTGTCTTTCATGAATAGGTAAATAAAAAAAAAAAATCTTAAAAAAAGATGTTCCTTTTGTTTTTGTCAAAATATTTTCAAGGGAATTTTAATTTTTCACAATACTGGAGGAAAACCTAGAGAGCTTGTTGAAGAAAATCAGACAGACTTTTTAGGCCACTGTGCATGAAATAAATTATCATCTTTCAAAGACCATGGGAAAGGTGTCTGTCTTTTTTATTGGTCTCACCAAGCACAGGACCCTCAATTGCTGGGCTGCCTCAGAAACAGCAAATGCCACTGACACACTGAAGGACTCTAATGCTGACTGTAACAGTCTGTTTTGCTGGAGGAGAGGAGGCAAGGACAGAGGACTAGGGCATGGTATCAGGGACCAGCCATTTCCCATTTCCCGTACCTCTCTCACGAACTCCAAAGGGAGTCTGGTAAAGACCAAAGAACTAAGGGAAGCATTTGTGAAGATCGGTCTGCTTCTAGTAGGACACAAACTTTCCTTTCTTGTATTCCCCATATAATAGCCTTAACGCTCTACTTTTCCTTGTTTGTGGAAATTGTCTCCATGGCAATACTAATCTGAATTGTGCAATTTTCCTCATTTCAGACTTGTTTTCTCTATATCTGGTTCCCCAGGATACCTGAGCTGTACCTATCTGTCTGATTTTCACCCTGATCCCACCAACTGACATTCAAACATGGCTCTTCTGAAGCACTCGGAAGACTGTATCACGCACTGATGTTTCATGGACCTGAACCGGGCACTTCTATTGCATAAACCTATAAAGTAACATGGTGATTCAGAGAATGAGGAGACCAGTCTACGTTTCCACTAGGGTAGTCAAAGAACAGTCACATGAAGGAATAGAGGGAGAGGAACCGGCAAGGGTGGGGCAGTTTTTGTAAGGAAGACGCAATCATTACTATACAGAACAGTTATGCCAGGGAATTAACTGGAGATTTGCTGGGACATCTTCAGAAAATAAATAACACATTGCAACACAATTGGCATGCTGAAATAGGTTTTTTTTTTTTGCCTCTCCAGTATGAAAAGTTAGTCAGAAGTCGCTCCCAGGAATAGCAAAGGACCTTCCTTAGGGACAATCACAATGCATGGAGAAGGGTATTTATTTTTAAGGCAACAGGAATAAATTTCATTGTCCTTCCCAGAGGAGAGCAAGAATTACATTAGGTGGCCACCAAGTCTGGAAAGTAGGCAAATCTTTAATAAATGATTTATTGATATTACAATTACAAAGAATGACAAAATTGTATTATCTATATTTCTAGACTTAATGGCCACCCCATAGAAAGCATCTTTGGAATAGAAAAAAAAGCTCTAAGAATTTGTTTTCCCATAATCATCAAGCTGTCATACTTAATCTGGACACAGCTAGTGCAACATTTTCCTCAACCCATAGGCTCCCTTCCCCTTACCAACTATTTATAATATGCTTGGGTCACTCACAGGAGAAAAACACTGTCAGCATCAATATTTAGCAGCATCTCAAAATACATTTTTTTGTCTTGAATAAAAAGCTAAACCATTCTTTTAGTGCAATAATTTCATATGGTGTTATTACTTCTATACACAAGATATACTTTAACATTTATGTCGGTAAGCATCTCTTTTTTTTTTGAAGACTCCCAAAGGCTTGGAGGATTTTATTTTTTCACAATAAAAGCAAAGGGCAGTGTCACCCCATAAGAGTCAGCCCAGCAGTGTAAGTAGACCCTTTGCAGAACTCTGTTCCTGGTGCAGGAAGCGATCTGACGCCCTCCCCTCGCTCTCAGTTCTTAGAAAGGGATCTGAGAGGGATAAAAGCAGTAACTATCTGTATTGCTTCATAGCCTAGGAAGGGAGAAAACAGATGTAAAAAAAAAAATAGTTTAATAAAAATAGTAGAAGCCAAATCCTTTCATTCCAGGATGTCTGCAAAGGAAAGACTCTATGGAGCATGGATGCAGAAAAGGTATCACTCCTAAGAGAAAAAAATAACTTGTGGACAGTCACTCAAGGCCAGAGCAGCAACCACAAAGAGCAACTGGCTTCCATCGCACAGTCAGCAGGAGGGGCACCTACCAGAGAACTTGGGACAAGGCTGTGGCCACTGCCCTGGGCCTTTTCAGGCCTCCTGATGCTGTGGTTCAACAGCTTTTGGGGGACAGGGAAACCAGAGGCCGACAGTGTCACGTGTGAGAAGGCTACTATGGCAACAACATGACGAGTGTAAATCAGCGAGAGTTTGGGTTAGACGCCGTTGGCAATTCAGACTGGACTTGCTTTCCTGTGAAGTGCTTGAGATGTGCAGAGGCATCTTAGACAAGTGTAGGTGACCCTTCTTGTGAAAGGCAGAGGAGCCTCTTCAGGAACGCATTCTACTCATTCATTTTCATTTCAGTCCACCAGTTAAACTAGAAAAGACGCTGAAAGCTATCCCCACTAGCTTCTAACTTGGACACGGCACCAATACTACACATACAACTGAAAGAACAACTTTTTCCTGGTTCTTCCATTGGGCGGGCTCAGTATGCTTCTTTGGACTGGATAGGGGTGATCTTGTTTGAGAAAAGTGTGTAAACATAGGGCCAGATTTTGTTAGTCTCCGTTCCAGAAAATTGGTGGAGCACTCCTCGGCTTCTGAAAAACAAAACCCAACACATGAAGGCATTTTAGTCTTCCTTATAACATGGTATTGGAACAGGTGAAGATCCTGGATATACAGCAAGCATGATCTCATGGTCTATCACACACACTGCCAAGTGCCAAAGCAGCCCCCTCAAATCTATCAACACCCGCACTGAGCGTTTTTACAGTTCCGGCATGCTTGCCATGACACCGCCCCTCTTCTCCTGTTTAAAACATATCCAAGAGTAACATTATATGAACAATCCCAAATCTGCCTCAGTATGCACTTTCAAAAAACAAATCATTGACAAACTCTGGTACTGTAAAACCCTTATCACTTAAAATAGATCACAAAACACAGAATGTATCATAACGACATGATCAAGAATTTCTGATCTAAAGACTTACTAAAGTATTTGGGAGTTAAAAGGTCAGCAGGAAAAAAAAAAAAGGAGGTCAGCAGAGGCTGTAGACAGCTGTCCTGAATGCAGTCTGCACATGGGTTTTGCTCAGTTTGCAAGATGTTAAAAATGTTATTTGTTGCCAATATAAAAACTGGGTGTTTTTTTTTCTCCCCACACAGCCAGATTTCTGCTTCTCTTGAAAAACAGGGATCACTGGCCACTCTGGGCCTGAGTACCCTGTGGTAATAACTGGCTAGAACAGCATAGGAGCTGTACAGTTCAACTGTCATTCAATTGCCCAGATTAACATCGCCCACGGAGTCTGACACTCATTTCTAGTAACTGCCTGGCCCGTGCAGCCATTTGAATTTGTCATCTGTAGCTTATAGCTTTAGCCTTTTTTGTTGTTGTTGTTAAATTCCCTCTAGACAGGGACGCCTGGGTGGCTCAGTGGTTGAGCATCTGCCTTTGGTTCAGGACATGATCTCCGAGTCCTGAGATCGAGTCCCACATCAGGCTCCCTGCAGGGAGCCTGCTTATCCCTCTGCCTTTGTCTTTGCCTCTCTCTGTCTCTCATGAATAAATAAATAAAATCTTTTTTTTTAATAAAATCTTAAAAAAAAAATTCCCACTAGGCATATCTAGGCAAAAGTACCCTTCTAATCTTCTATCCAAATGAGATATTTACATGTGGCAGTATCAAAATATAAACCATTGTATTTCAGATCCTTGAAAAGAACGATGACAATAATCCTAGACAGAATTTTACAACCACACAAAGATGATCAGGTTTTGGTCCCTGTATTACAAGAATTTCAGCATAAAAGACCGGACTGTTTCTCTCAGATACAATCCCAGCATTTCACTGGACTCCCAGGGAGATACTGGGCCTTTCGGGTTTATCTAGCTTAAAGAAACACCACCCTACCTCAGCCTGGCATCCTTCCCACTGGGCGCCACACGGTTCTAACAGCCATCTGCCATGAAAATGTTGAAATACACTCACTTGTATAATTCAATGACTGGCTTTGCCACATCCTTGTACTGCCTTAGCCTGGCAGCCACCGCTTCAGGTTTATCATCCTCCTGCTGGACTAATGGCTCACCCGTGATGTCATCAATCCCCTACAAATACCAGAGACATCAGTTAATACAGCCAACACCTGAGTCATTCCAAAAAAAACCTTTCTGTGCAAAAAAAATCCATGTATTCACCTTTGACCCTTACCACATGATGAATCAGGCCTGAGCGACAATGGTAACAGTGAAAGTAATTGAAAAAGAAATAGCACTCTTAACAGTAATGTTAACCTTTTGTGAGAGCTGACACGAAATCTTTATGAACTTCTCAGATCTTTCCAAACATGTTCCAGTGCTGTTGATAAATGATACTTTATTTTTTTATTTTTATTTTTTTTTTAAAGATTTTATTTATTTATTCATGAAAGACACACAGAGAGAGAAACAGAGACACAGGCAGAGGGAGAAGCAGGCTCCATGCAGGGAGCCCGATGTGGGACTCGATCCCGGGACTCCAGAATCACACTGTGGCCCAAGGCAGGCACTAAACCGCTGAGCCACCCAGGGATCCCCCGATAAATGATACTTTAAATTTACAGTTTAGGGCAGCCTGGGTGGCTCAGCGGTTTAGCGCCACCTTCAGCCCAGGGTGTGATCCTGGAGACCCAGGATGGAGACCCAGGATCGAGTCCCACGTCAGGCTCCCTGCATGGAGCCTGCTTCTCCCTCTGCCTGTGTCTCTGCCTCTCTCTCTCTCTGCATCTCTCATAAATAAATAAATAAAATATTTAAAAATGAGTAAATTAATTAATTAATTTACAGTTTAAAGCTCCATGCTGCCTCTTCCAACAAAAAACAGCTTTTAGACAATGTCACTCTGGCCCTCTAAACATTCCTCAAACTGCCTTGTTTTCTAAAGTTTGAATTATTAATATGGAAAATCGAATGTCTAGGGAGTGCCTCGGCTCAACTGGTTGAGCATCTGACTCTTGGTTTCACTCAGGTCATGATCTCAGATTTTTGAGATGGAGTCCTCCTCCCCCATCAGACTCTGCACTCAATAGGGAGTCTGTTTGAGATTCTCTCACTCCCTTCTGCCCCTCCCCACTCTTGCACACTTTCTTTCTCTAAAATAAATAAATACAATCTTTAAAAGAAAAAAAAGAAAAATGTCTCAAAAACCAACTAGTTTCCTTTGGATAACACAAATCTAGGAGAAGGCATCTCAGCCTTGCCTCTGCTAGCTTTCAAATTCTTCCCTGAGATTAGGCTTACTCAAGTTATTTTACTAGCTCACATAATGATGTACCTAAAGGTAGATTAGAATAGGCATGGATTATATACCTATGATAATCAGGAACAAACATTCTGAGAATAAAAAATTGCAATTTAGAAACCCTAATTTTTTATGTATTTTAACCTCTTCAGGAAACGTACCTAGTTATAAACAGCAACACAGACGTATAGAGGATCTTGCTTCCATGTCCATGATTCTTACCCACCAGGGGAGACAGTCACAAGAAACAAATCTATCCAGAAGCAGGCTAGAGCAGAACCAAAAGGCTCAGGAAACTCAACTGGATAATCAGAAACCAGTTATAAATTTGAAACACACTAAAATTCCATTATAGCTCAGGGCCTTGGCACATAACTTGTACTTATGATTTATTGGTGAGCCCCATAATCATCACATGTGTATTCCATGGTTGTTATCCTGACCCAACAGGTGAGATGGGGGTGGGAGAAGGCTGTACATCACCTATATTCTCTTCAATTTTATTTTACTTAGAGCTGCAAAGCTCAGAAGTCATTTCCAGGACCTCAGATCACCTGTAAATATAACTTTTTTTCTAGAAAAAGCAGAATGATGCTAGGGTGACAGCATCCCTCCTTCTGGGAGAGCTGGGCCACAGTGGCTGGTAGACAAACACTTTCACTGCGGTCTTTGGAGGCACCACTGTAATTGCAGGTGTTCTTTTAGGATACCCAGTCTTTGAATAACAACTCAGTGTTAAAGGTTCTCAAACTTTACTAGAATCTTTGCTTCAGCAAGTCTAGGCAGAGCTAAAATGTGAAGTATCTGTGCTGGACTTCAGTGCATATTCAGAATCCTCTTTACCCCTCCATCTGTTTTTTCCCCCATACTAATTTCTTGAGAGAGAAAGGAGGAAGGGACCTAAAAAAGGAATTCCAGAAGTATTTATTAGATTTTAAAAAGAAGACTTCAAAAGGCAACTAGTGCTTTGCCCAAATGAACAAGACTCACTGGAACTTTACCATATCTATGGCACTCGGGAGCTGGGAAGGCATCCCAGCTCTTGAAGTTGGTTTTCTGTAGTAATTATTGACTGACTATAATCAGGTCTACCAATTCCATATACATTAATCCAATACAACGGAATTGTCACCCCTTCCACATTTGGATGATCGCAAGTAACACTAACACGCAATAACTAGAGGTAAGAATCACATTGAACTAATTCATGTCTTTACCAGAAAGAACAAGCTCTTTAAATGAATTTGTTCACTTAAAAAGCTCCTTTAAACATGTACCTTTACATAGGTTTATTTCATGTAAACACATGTCATTTTTGGAACTGTTTATTCTTCTAGTCCTCCCAGTCCCTTTACACCCTCACTGTCATCACTCCCATGATATCACCCACTATGACCCCAGGTCTTTATGCAGGCCTAGCCCTATTTATCCCTGCTCTTATGAAGCTGGAGAGCACATATCCACATACAAACAGATATGTGTAAAGAAGGAGGGTCACTGTTTTCCAAAAATGGAATCATTGTGCTATTTACTTTTTTTTTAAGATTCTATTTATTCATGAGAGACAGAGAGAGAGAGAGAGAGAGAGAGAGGCAGAGAGAGAAGCAGGCTCCATGCAGGGAGCCCGACGTGGGACTCGATCCCGGATCTCCAGGATCACACCCTGGGCTGCAGGCGGCACTAAACCGCTGCGCCACCAGGGCTGCCCAATATTTACTTTTCATATTCAGTAATACTTGGAGGAAATAGTACTTCAGATCAAAGCGGAAAGCAAGAAGCCATTCTTTTCACTGAGTACATGATATAGATATTCCATGATATAGATATTCTCTCGTTCATTTAGTCATCCCCTATAAGTGAACATTCATTTCTGTTTTCAGATTTTGTTTTTTCTCTAAAATCATTACTGAAGTAAGCATCACTGTGTACAGGACCTTACCTGCTAATGCTTTCATTTCTACAACCTATACTCCCAGCAGTGGGTTGAATGAAATACATATTTTAAAATGTTAATGTACGTTGCTAGGTTGCTTTCTAAAAACACTATTAAGGGACACCTGAGTGGCTCGGTTGGTTAAGCATCTGCCTTCAGCTTAGGTCATAATCCCAGGATCTTAGGAACACACCCTGAGTCCAGCTCCCTGCTCAGTGTGGAGCCTGCTTCTCCCTCTCCCTCCACCTGCTGCTCCCCACTGTTTGTGCTCTTTCTCTCTGTGTCAAATAAATAAAATCTTTAAAAAAATAAATAAATTAAAACACTATTAAAACATTATATGCCTAATAAAGATGAGAGTGCCATTTTCCAGATCCCCACCAGCAACAGATGTTATAAACCTTAATTTGCGTTTCTTGACCACTGGTGAATTAAAAAATTTCAAATACCTGTGGCCATGTAGATTTGCCCTTTTTTGAATAACCTATTCATATCCTTCCTATACTTTACAACTTGCCTCTTTCTTGTCAGTCTGTAAAAGTACTTGGTATATTCTTACATGTACGTGAGGTGGATTGAAGTCCAGGTTATATACCCTTCCACTAGGAGGGTGAATCCAACGTCGGCTGAGACGATCTTTGAGTGTTTCAAATGGAATGTTCAAAGTGATCACTAGATCCAGCTCACAGATTTTGTCCAGGGCTTCAGCCTGAACTAATGTCCTAGGAAAACCTAAATGCCAAAAACAAAACATAATCAAATGCAAGACATTTCCCAATTCCAATGAGTCAATGAAATATTTTCAGTTGATAGAATAATCAAATTTATATGTATACCACCCAGAAAGAAGTTTTTATCAGGAATTTCCAAATTTTTATTTGGAACCTCCAAAAATTTATTAGAAGAAAATAGGCTACTTTATAACCCAGCTTTGGCATTTGAGATACTCCAAGATTAAGGAGTTACACGACACAAGTAGAGAGTGCCCTAAATTAAAAATCACCAAATTAGTCCTGACTTTGCTCTTAACTACTCATGTAACTTTAGGCAAGTCATATCACCTCCATTTCCTCTCCTATGAAAGAAGCAAAGAACAAAATTATATTTGTGTTCTTTTATAGCTTTAACAGCGATTAGTGTATTAATCTTATGCTACCCCCAAAATTATAGATATATATATGTGTAATTATATATCATATATTTTTTTATCTGTTCCCTACTGCTTGCAAAACTCAACTGTGGTCTGCAATCTAGCACAGTAACTACAGAAATAAGAAAAACGCATTTAGGAATTTTATAGCAATTTCACAGTAATTCACTTACTGTATTTGATAAAAGGATTGCTGCACAGTAGATTAGAAGGAAAAAAAGAAACTCAGCTTTCACTACACATAGTTCATTCTAGGCTTCCCTTGGAACTTATTTTCTAATTTCTCCCATAAGGGAAATTATCCAATGGTCCCCGCAATATCTAACTTGTGATGCTATTTATTATAGAAGGGATATAGAATAAGTTACATCTCTTCCAAAAAGACACAAGAATGAAGAGAGCCAACCCTGGGGCATGTTCAAACTCTACTGTTATGACAGGGAAAGAAAAAGCAAGTTTCAACAGAGGTGAGGAAAAGCTTATCTTGCGGGCAGATCTCAGTTCACTGGCTATGATGTGCCTAACCCAAGGTACTCACATGTTCCCAATGGGCAAAAGGGTTACTCCAGCATTACAGGTAACACCAGAAGAAACTGCTTTCACATGCTCATATGCTGTCTTTTGTGATCCCATCATGCATTCGGACTGGCCTCAACATAGAAATAGGTATTTCTAATCTTGCAGCCCAGGTGCTGCTTCTTGTACCAACAGCCATCTACTTGTACTGTCTCCTTCCTCTCATAGTGGCTCTATGCCTAAGCATCCTCTTCACAAAAAAGGTGCCCACATGTTGGGAAATTATGTGGGAAATATGTTCATGTGTTTTTTTCTGAGGTGGGAACATGAGTGATTCCTTTCCACTCTTCTAGTTTCTAATATTTTTTAATTGAGCATATACTTTCAGAATGGAAAAAATACTGCCCTTAATAAAGAACTGCTGACTAATTAGACTTTTTTTCAAATCTCACCATCATTTGTTAGATCAAGTTAGGACTACCTGACATTTAGGGAAGTGAAAGATCAAACTTTATCTGCCTAAGATCAAGTACATTATGGCCACTTGGCCTTAGCACTGGAAGACAGCAATGCCTGGCACACAGTGGGCAAACACTGGCATGAAACACTAGCATAGTTGTCTTCTAGTCTTCCCTTTGGTGGCCATACTTATTTGTCCAGTTGCCTTATTTTAAGCTCCCAATTTAATTCTATGAAATTATAGTACTCTGTCAAGCCCTGTAAAAGTATGTCATTTTTTTTCTTTCCACTCTGGAATGGCTTGACTGTTTGCATCCTAATTTATTAAGCAACTTCTTTTTTAATCATTAAGTACAAAGACAAACTTAATTTTAGAATTGGGGCTTCACAATACCTAGGTATATCCTAAAGCTTTAAATTTGTGATAGCTGCCAGGTAGATAACAAAGTGATACTATCTGGGTCACCAAGGAGTGAGATTTGGCTCCAGGTGGGCCCTCAGGGCTCAATTCCATCTATGGCAACAGAGGTTGTGCAGTGGGCAAGGAGTCCAGATAAGAGTCCACATATCCTCTTTCCCACCAAATTCCTTATTGAATACTATACACAGCCTCAACCAGGTGCTTTTTGCCACCTCCACCTCCCTTCCCATAACTGCTCACTGTAAGCCAGGTCTGGGGATGCTGTGGGAAAGTTCAGTACCTGGGATCTATGCTAAGTCTATGAGTCAACTTTAGCCTAGCTTCCCCTACACTATACACCACAGTCTGCTTTAGAAAATGAGTTTCCTGAAATGGGATTTAAGACACGCCTCACTCCCTTTGTTATCCTCTGGTACTGTACCTGGACATCCAACACTGAAATTCCAGCAAAGTGAGAAAGGCACTCTCTCACAGACGGCCAGGGCCCACCTTTTTCCCCATATAACGCGCTCTTCATGAAGGCTTCAAATTGACAACTGGAGCCTGCAGCCAAAACAGTCCCAATCTTGGGAGATTAATCTCCATGCCACTCCCCCAAATCCCTTTTTAAGGAAAAACCATTTTCTAAAGCAGTGGCTTCCAAAGTGACCCTCACTGGAGGGCAGAATGAAAACAACCTCTGTTGCACTGTTGTTTTGTTCATTCTTTTTAAAATTTTATTCTGGCGGGTATATTTTATAAGGCATATATTAATAAAATCATATTATGATTAGGCACATAATTCACACAATCCATATACTGAAGAAGTAAAGTCAACATTTTTACTGATAAACGTGCACAAAGAACTTAAGGGTTCATTCCTCTAAAGACCAAAGTTCTCGGCCTCGGTCCCTGGCCTTGGGTTCTACATCACTAACCACTACTCTGACAAGAAAAGACTGTTCTTTATCCTTTGGATAGAGGATGAAAGCTGAAGAATGCAGTAGGAAAGAACAGGAAGCCCTGAATGAGAATATAACAGTTCCTCCAAGGAATACAAACTCAGATTTTATTGGCTACAGTTTCCTACTCTACTGGATAGAAGCCAGTCTGCTCAACAACCCTACAACAGTTTCTAAACTCTGGAGCCCTCTGGAGGAATGGGTGGAAAACACAACTGTATATAATAAAAGTTGAACTCAGAAGGAACAGATTTCAAAAATGTTGGGTAGTGTCTACCTTTGGGGCTCTCACATTCAGAGCTGCTAAAGACCAGAGAATAATTATGGTGGCTTAGAGGTCTTCTGTTAGGACAGTGGCTCTCATCATATCCCCCTATCCTTGAAATAGGTTAAAGTAGAAAGAACCAGGGAAAACACAGAAACCTACAATTAAAGCTAAAATGGAAGAGTTATATTTTAGGATGTTAATGCTGTTGGAATGCAATCATGTTAATGGTTAAGAAGTACCAACAAGAGAACTAAGTCATTCTACAACTTTAAGAGTTTTCCATCTAAAAGGGGACATCCACATTATCAGGGAAGACTTAAAATGGTGGTGGTGGTGGTGGGGGGGGACGGAGAGCTTATTACTGCCCAGATTCCATGCCATTCTTCCCAGAATGGAATACCTAGGAGCAGGGCTTAGGTGTTTTTTAAAAAGTTATCCAGGTAACTCTGGCTGGTTAAGAACCACCAACCTTCTCAGTGACAGCAACAGTGGAAGAACAATACTAACTACATGTATCTATCCCATTTGGGGGAAGGTTTAACACCACTTCTAAGCAGGTTCAAACCACTTTGAAGAGTTTTCTTTACCTCAGTTTCATGGCAAGAGCACCGGGAAGTAAATTCCCAAACTGAGGCAAATCTTTCCAGATTCACTAAGCCCCTATCTCAAGTGACCTGTTTATGCCATTCCTGTCCGGGATCTTACCTCTAAGAAAGTGGTGTGGCAGGGGACAAGATACAGTAGAATAGTGAAAACTGGACAAGTCAGAGACCTGGGTGCCAGGCTGCGATTTCAAAAGTGAAGAGAAGCAGTGGTAAGCTGGAAAACTCAGAGCTCAGTGGAACATGTTAGTTATGGGCACAAGCTCTGGACCCAGACACCCCTGGATTTCAAACCCAGTTCTACCCAGCCATGACTGCAAGAACTTCCACTAGCTTTGTAATCTCTCTCTGGTCCTTAGTCTTCTCAGATATAAAACAAGGGTATATTAATTTACTAGGGCTGCCATTACAAAGTGCCACGGAACAGGTGGCTTAAACAACAGAAATTTATTTTCTCATAGTCCTCCTGGAGGCGAGGAGTCTCAGATCAAGGTGTTGGGAAGGTTGGTCTCTTCTAAGGCCTCTCTCCTTGGCTTGCACATATGGCTGCCTTCTCCCTGTGTCTTCCAAAGGGCTTTTCCTCTGTGGAAGTCTGCATCCAAATCCTCTTCTTATAAAGACACTACAGTACTCTACAGTACTCATATTACATTAAGGCCCACCTCAAGAACTCATTTAACTGAATTACCTCTTTAATGACCTCATCACCAAAGAAGAGTCAAATTACAAGGTACTAGGGGTCAGGATTTGAACAGATGAATTAAGAGAGGCACAACTCAGCCCATAATAAAAGGTAATGCCTACTGCATAGGGCTGTTGGAGAATAAAAGAGACAATCTTTGTAAAATGTGTAAGATGTAAAGTGTTAGGCCCATAGTGAGCACTCAATAAATGGCTGCTGTTGCTCTTGCAGAGCTCTTTTTTTTTTTAAAGATTTTATTTATTTATTCATGAGAGACAGAGAGAGAGACACACACACACACACAGAGAGAGAGAGAGAGAGAGAGGCAGAGACACAGGCAGAGGAAGAAGCAGGCTCCATGCCAGGATCACACCCTGGACGGAAGGCGGCGCTAAACCGCTGAGCCACCCCAGGCTGCCCATTGTAGAGCTCTCCTGAGAGTCCTGCTGGTTCCCCAATTCAGGCAGAAGGCAGAATGAAAGAGGTCTTCATCCCCCAACTTGCCTTGATTTAATGCCTTTCCTGAGATTTGCTCATCTGGGGAGTCCCTGGTGTTTTGTGCTCTCTACCACAACTACAGCTCAGCCCCTGCAGTCATTAGCTACACAGTCTGCACATTCTAGGTCCCACACACTCAAAAGGGAGTGCAACCCAGGCAAGCTCTGGATTGGGCTCAGCATGGCTGCTTCTGCC